AAATGAAGGTTCAAACAAAAAACAATTTTCTATTTTTTTATCATTATCTTCTAACAATCTCTCCAGTCTTCTCTCATATTTGGGTTTCCACCAAAATTCGAAATAATTTGCAAAATCGTCAATAATTTTATCACCCATTGATCGCCACTCATTAATTGCTTTTATGACCTGTTGCTGTGCTTCTGCATCATTCCACCCTTCTGTCTGTATTAGTCTTCACAAATCTTTCCATACAATTGCCTATATATATATATATTTTAATATTAAACAAATTATTAAAAATTATAAGAATTAGAGAATTTCTATTTTCACCTGAGGCCTAGGATTTTATCTAGGTATTAGTATATGCAATGAATTTTTTTGTTAGAGCCTACTAATACTATTAATTTAGTCATGTGAACATTATTATAGTTTATCGAGTGACTTTAACCTGAGTGAAAATAGAATTTCCCTAAAAATTATAACTTGTAATTTAAAATTTGTACATATATATATTAATATTAACAATACCTTATTTGGATCGATATTTGTATCATGCTTATAGCCTAGCCTTCTACGCCAAGAGCGCAGTACATAGAAGTGACATAACAATACAGAACTGTCTAGAAAACTCTCATTAACTGCTTTTATCTCCTCTTCAGCGTCATCAACCATAAATATATCAGAACTAAATTTTTCATTCGTGCCTTTTAAAAAATTAAACCACTGATTTAACATTGATGATCGTTTGAATTTACTTATCAAAAATGTTACAGGGTATCTATTTCCTGTTATAGAGTAGCGCATAACAATTGAGAAAAGATAATAACCATGGTGGTTCATCCCGTGTGTACTATCTAGACACAAAACTCTTCTGAATTCAATTAAATTTTTTTGTTCTTTTGTCTGAAATACGAAAAGAAACTCAAACTCATTATCACGTTCAAATAAACAATTTCCACCAGTATTAATTAATTTTTCCTTCCATTTTTCTAAAGAAATTAATTCATTTTTATCAAAATAAATTAATTTTTTCATTATATTATACACTATTGTGTATATATCATCACATGTTATAAAAGCATCTCGTAACATTCGAGCATCCTGTAAATAACCTTTAGTATCTATTCTAATCTGATCTTTAACTTCAACTGCTCTAAATCGCAAAAGCCTCTGTATGCTGAAAGCATCTAGTCCTTCGAGAGCACAAGTTTGAATAAAGGTTCGAATATTTTCAGAGAGTGGCATTGTACATAAATCAGATAAATGTCCGGGATAGTGATTTGTATGTTTGTAGTAATAGTATAGGACTACATTAGATGAATTAATAGGAAGAGTTACACAAATAAAGCTTTTGCAGTCACATTTCTTAGTCTCCTTTTGCACAATTCTTGGTTTTTTATTTAAATTTTTTCCTGCGATACTTTTGTATGTCCCATAGCGATGACAGTACCAACGCTCTGTCCACAGATTTTTCTTTTTAGCACTGTACCAATTACTTTTACGATCATGCCGAACATAGCTTAGTCCCCCTTTTTCAAGATCCCTAATCCATGTTATATATTCATTTATTGGAAGTGAATAGATTTTCACTCTTTCATTATTTGATTTACTTGATACCGTATTATCATCATCTACTGATTCCCACATATGACCAACACCGTCTGTTGCATCAAGAATGGAATCAATTATATTATCTAAATTATCGTTATCAAACTCCATATCAATTTCTTGATCTTCCTCTTCAATATCGAGAATCTTATTAATATCAGGAGGCATTGACATGATACTTTAAAAATAACTTCAATATCAATAACTAAACTTTCATGTATGATAATTTGAAAATATTCTTTAATTAAAACTCAAATACTAACTATAGGAGAAATATAGTGTATTTTATGAGCTTTTAGAAACAGATAGGCTTTTACTAACTTTTGAACGAGTATGAAGCTATCACGCGATAGTGATGAAAGATATTTATATACTTTTATATGCAAAAATATAATAGTTCAAGTGCCAATTTTCTTATTTCTTTTATTAATATAACGTGTTAAAAAATTATTGAGTTTTGTTACTACGATAAAACACAAAAAAGAAGGTAATCGTTTAAGAAAACTTTCAATTTAAGAGAAATTATAATGACATAATATGATATGACGTTTTATGACAATCATGTTTCAGTTGCAAATTGTAGTGACTAGACTCGTCAACTTGTGATTAGAATAACTCAAGTTTATCACGATTCGAATCATAAATTCGAAACTCGCGAGTTACTTATGAATTAAATTACTAATATAAAAATTATAAATAGCAATATTAAAGGTTTCAAAATTAGCGGAGTTTAAAAAAATTATATTTGTAATTTTTAAATTAAAATTAAAATAAAATAGTGTTTAAACTTTTTTGTATATGTAGTCTAATAATCGTTAAAGCGTTGTTGATAAATAAAATAATATAATAAGCTTACATTAATATAAATAGATTAATAGATTACTTATTTTGAAATAAATAATTTCTCTTAATTCTTTTGAAATGGGTATCTGTTTTTTAATTTTGAAACCCTATTGTTTTTTTTTGTATTTGCAATTTAAAATATACTTTATAAGAATTTTTAATGAATATTTAATTTAATTGACTCGAATTACTCGAACTTTAATTCGAAAAAATAATTCGAACATATGATTCGAGTTAATTCGAAACTCTTCAAAATTTAACTCGCGAGTCACAAGTTTTCATGAGTTCAGTCTCTATGCAGTACTATGTATGAATTCTAAAGATTCTTGGTTTAATCGGGTTTTAAGTCAATTGAGTCGAAAACCACATGATATTTGAATAGTGTATATATGCATATTGAATAAATTCTGTGGCGCAGAACTTCTTAATAATTAATACTTCTAGTGATGATTCCTCAATAACTACTTGATCAAATTCAGTAAAATTTTTATTTTAATTCCATATTTTTGTAGAATTAAATAAAAAAAAAGTTCATTGAATTTGGTTCAGTGGTTATCGAGAAATAATTGCTAAAAATTTAAGAAAAGAAAAAACAAAAAAATTAGGTAAATTTTTTCTTCGAACTTTAAACACTTTCGAATTTATTATTGGATCTGCAGCACAGGATTCGTGATGATATACAAATTTGTCTAATCAAAAATAGGGAGATCGCCGCCCAATCAGAGAGTAGGGGGTAAATTAGTAAAACCTAACAATTCATAGAAGGAATATCATCTATTTATCAAATACTATTTCTTCTTCCTTTATATACTGTGTTGTTAACTATACTAATCTTTTAGATTTTCTAAATGATTTAAATAATATCACAGAAATGAATCTTATTCTACTAATAACTATATCTAAAGAAGTTTTTATTACCATAAAAGCTCTTAGAGAATACTACTTCTTTCATTGAATTCTAGATTTATGAATAAATATACTAATATCACAAAATACTATACCAACTAACTAATTTCCAAATATATTAGTAGAATTAAATACTATTATTCAATAGTATTAAGCAGATAAAGTAATCTTTTTATTAGTAAAATAATATAATGATGTACTACAAATTTTTACCTTTTTCTAACAACATTTCAAATTTACAAATTTATCAAATTTCTTATTTAAACTACCTAATCTATTATCTCCAAAATGTGATATCTTTGAACTATTCAAATACTAACTTCTCAATATAAAAACAGAATTCAAAAGTAATAATCTATGAGTAATATATCTATAATATCAAACTCTACAAATCTTACTGATTTTCTTACTCAAACCCAACAACAACTATCTAAAATCAAAGATTCTAAACAATAAATTAACTTTACTATATATAATATAAGAATATAGTTAAACTCTAAAACTAGATTGAATACTGCATAAAAGAAAATCTTTATTTAGTTATACTATCAGAAACTAAACTAAAAAGCAAACCAATCTCATTAACTAATTCTTTTTACAAATTCTATACATTAAACTTCACTCTATCTAATCCTTTATATCATGAAATTGCATTAGATACTGCTTTAATAATATACAAATTAATTCAACTATATATTCATAATATTAACTCTATTTTTGACTCTGCAATATGTATAGATTTTTTCTTCCTTAACAATAACAAAACACAGATAATTTCTGTTCATCTTCTAACTAATCATCCTTAATTTTTAAAAAGTACACAATCATTAGTTAATATTTAATTAAATAAAACTAAAACAAGAAATTAGTACTTAATTATTTTTGAAGATTTTAATGCAAATGAAGGTTCAAACAAAAAACAATTTTCTATTTTTTTATCATTATCTTCTAACAATCTCTCCAGTCTTCTCTCATTTCATAATATAACAGATTCTACATAGAGAAATAATTGATCTTAAAGCCAAATTAATAATATCTGATATTTAAATAATATGATCTTTGATATAAACTGTTTAAAACTAATAGATACTACTAGTATATCAAATAGCGATTATAAAATTCTAATTATAACTTAGCATACAAACTTTACTCTAACAACTTCTTATTGCAAAAGGAAAAAAAAGAAAATATTTCTCTATAACAAAACAACTGTAGATAACTGAACTGATTTCATAAAAGCAATTAATATCTCATTAGCAAATCCTCTATCTGATATTATACTTAAGAACCTTAACAAATACTGGTATATTTGGTTAAACCAAATTAAGAGTATTACTAATCTGCATATTTCATTCACTTTCAAAGCTCCAAAAATATTTAACATATTCTTATTTAAAACAACAAAACTTCACTCTGCTCTAATCTATATAAACAAAGCAATCTATCTAATTTTAGTGATTCTAACTACTTCTATATCTATAATAAACTACTACTTATCAATTATTACTAAAGCTTCTAAAATTCCTATAAACCCAATAACAACTAAAGATATATCAATAAACAAATATATACTTTAAATTAACTCAAAGAATATAAAACAATAATATAGAAAAACAGAAATCAAGAAAAAGTAATAGAACAAAAAAAAAGAATAAAATATTATATCAACAGACAATACTCAGATATGAAGAATAATACAAGTCAAATGATTAATAGTATTCTCTAACAATATATAAGATACTCTAACTTAGATAAGATAATTACATCTAATTCAGTAATTACTAATTCTATAGAAGTTAAAGATACTATTTGAGAGTATTTTTAAGACTAGACTAAAGCTAACTCTCCTAATAATTTATACTGGTAAGATTGAAAATATTACTACTTTTTTTTACTATCTATCTTATCATTAATATATGATTCACTTTCTGCACTAATTTTAATAGAGGAGTTATCTGCTATAATTAAAGCTTCTCCTATGAACAAAGCTACTAGACTTCTTAGAATCTCAAATAAAATACTTAAATATCTTCTACCTATTGTCTTATATTATCTTTTTACTATTTTAAATTCTTGTCTTGAATTAGAAATTATTTCTAAGCCCTAGTATAGTGGTCGGGTTATCAGATCACTATATAATAGGTCTGGGGTTCAAATCCTACTATTAACAAATTTGAATAATACCTAGACCTGTGTACTAAACTTATAGTAAACTCTGCTTGTTCCCAAAAAGGGAGTTCTGGAGGATGTGACAAAACTCTGTAAAAAATAGTATTGCACTAAATCAATCAGACATTAGAAGTGTGACAGTAATATTATACAAATAAATCTGCATTAAATATATGAGCAGAAGATCTGCATAGTAGAAATCCTGAGTTGGTAAAGTAGTATAGCCTTTAACAGTCATACTAGCTAATGCTTAATTTGAAAAAAAACTGTTTTAAAGAATA